ACTAAACGTTCACCAAAAAACTTTAGTGAGAAAAATCGAAAAAACAAACTACAAACATATTAACGCCAAACATTCGGTAGAATTTATAGAATATTGTAAAAATTATGGTCTATTACCAACATTTATATATATATATATATATATATATATATATATATATATATATATATATATATAGAATGTTGTGGGGCTAACTATTGTATATATGTATACATTGATACTTTGTACATAATTCGTTCAATGTTGATACTATGAGGAAACTTAACAATTTTTAAAGAATTAATTTGCATATTTTTTCATCTTGATTCTATTAGATTTGATTTTATTGGATATATAATAATCTCTAGCAGTAAGACATTATTTGTCATCGTTCGTTACTAGTACAACATCTTAGTTTAGTATAATCATTGCTGTTGTTGCTGTTGCTGATTTCATTAATTATTTGTTAATATGTTATTACTTCTTGAGGGTTATTTGATTGTTAATGAAAGTTTCGTACAAAAATCGGTGTCTGTCTTTTCAATGATTAATTTTTTTAATTTATTTCAAATTCTCGGACAGCAGCCGGGTATAATGGCCAAATCGACCGTTCAAATTTACGATTAAACAGCATCGGTGGACTATTCACAAGAGCAGGGGTGGGCAAACTACAAAAATATAAAATAAGAAATAAAAAAATGAGACCAGGCACTAAGGGAATGCCCTAAAGCGCCCGGTCTGATTTCAACGTGTTTTCGGCTCTTATTTATACCAGTTCCAATCATACATTCATATCATTTCAATCATTGACATCAATAAAAAACTTTATTTAATGTATATGAAACATTATTCTAGGTGCTTAACAACAATATATTAACTATGCTAGAATGAATTCAACGAACGCCTACGAACTTCCTGATTGGATGGTTCGAGAATGTGTACACGTTTATCTAGTTGAATTCGGGATCACTCCTTTTTCACATTACAATTGAAAAATTAAAATATGTAATTAAAATAATTTCTTTTATTTAATTTCTTTTATATATTATACTTACAATCAATTCAATCATTCACACAGTAAAAAGTTTATTGATTTAATGTTATTGATTTTTCATATTGATCTTCACAACGGAGCTTCTCAAACTTCGAAACATTCTGATCGACTGGTTGGAATTGCTGTATTTTTTTTATCTAAACATAATATTAGTAATTATCTGTATACATGGAATCAAAATACTATACATATATTTATTATATATCTTCCTTATAAAACCAATAGTAATCAGTGTTACGTATGTACTTATGTAAGTACATACGTATGTACGCGCGCGGCGGTTCAAATTATTCCGAGAGAATTCAAAATAATTTGACACCTTACTTCATTTTAATTGTATAATTTAAATGTATAAATATAAATATATATATATATATTTGATAACTGTGCATATCTATCTATCTATTTATTTATTTAGTTTTGTGTGCATATATATAATATTTGTTAAAGTTTATTTCATTGGTATCGAATGTAATGTTTATACCGGTTAATTTACCATCGTACATTTCAATATTTTTTACTCTTAAAATGACGTCATTTCCGCCAACTATTCCACAACACATACACACTACACTACTCTGTCGTTGTAATGTTTGTTCCATGATTTACCTTTTCTTTCTTTCTCTTTTTTCATTCGTAATTGTAGAATTTTGTAGGATTATTTGAACTTATTGAGCATGGGTAAGTGAGTCAATCGTTCATTCATTCATCAGCGGTTGGGGGTGGTGTAATAGCCCTGCCGTTATCTGCCAACATTTTCTCTCATGAACATCTGCCTAGACTTGGGTGGGGGAGCTTTCCACTAAATTTTGTTCATGGCAGGAGCTATTTCGATTACGTTTTTAAAAATTGTTTAATTAAGTAAGGGGCGATGGCAAGTAAATTTGGAATTCATAACAACTAACATGTACACATGCATACAAGTATCTAAAAGAATTTTTTAAATAATAAATTAATTTATATATATATAAAATATTTATTATGATAATTATAATGATAATTAAATGAAATTATTATTAATAGTGTGTGTACGTTATCCGGTGTTCAAACCAAACGAGCCAATCAGGTAGTTAGGGTGACGTTCCTTAGGTTCCGACTAGTATAGTTAGTATTGATATATTGTCGTGAAGCATGTATGATAGTGTTTTGTATATATCAAATAAGCTTTTATTGATATGAATGATTGAAATGTTGAAAATGTATAAATGAAAATGTATAAATAAACGTTGAAGCCAGATCGGACGTCCTTCGGCAAATGGTCCGGGGCGTCTCATTCTCATTTTTTTATGTTAATGCGTGGTCGTACATAGTTTTATTTATTTGTTTCTCGGATTGTTTTGTTTGTTTCGCGGATATATAGAGTTTTTTTTTGTTTCTCAGATATAAAGATTTTTTTTGTTTCTCGGATATAAAGAGTTTTTTAGGTTTAATTTAGAGAACATAGGTAAGTTAGGGACTCTTATTTTTTCATTTTTACGTTCTAGTTTATTTGTATTGTATTATTTTATTTGTTTTTGGTTCAACACAACATCAACAACAGCAATCAAACACGACAATCAACACAATATTATTTTCGTTAAATTTTTGTTAAATTTCGTTACACCATATTTTAGTCAAGTTTTTTATTATTTCTAGACCTATTCGTTATTCATCTTGTCGCTAATTATTTCTAGGCTTATTTGTTTATTTTATTTGCACATAACTTGTTGAAAACGATACTGTCATTAACGTTATTGAGCTTTTTAGTTAAATTTTTGTTTTACAAATTCATTTTTGTTATTTAAATCCGAATTTAAAATAAATTCATTAAATTTAATACGTTTCATAATCATGGACAAAAATTTAAATTGAAGCAATTATTTTGCTATATACAAATTTGTTTAGAATTAAAACTGTGAATTGTGAAAGTTTTAGGGGAACGTTCGAATACCATTTCAGCGGTTGGTTCTTGATCGCAGGGCTGAAATTCTATTTGTTTACTTCGTTGATTTTGTCGGTTGATGAGATTGTGACTAATGTAGGAAACAATAAAAACAAGGTTGTATGTAAATGAATAAATGAATGAATGAATGGATAGATGGGTGAATGAATGAATTAATTAGTAGATAGTACAAACATTACAACCAGAAAAAATCCGTCAGCCACAAAAAACATTTTAAAAAATTTGCCAACAGGTCGAACAAATTTGTTATTTAAAAACATATGTGGTCCTTCTAAGGTCAAATAGTTCTCAATGAAGCCCTTCAAAGGTCAAATATTTTACAATGTGGCCTTTCGAAGGTTAAATAATCAAATAATTCTCAGTGCGGCCCTTCAAAAGTCAAATAACTCTCAATGCGGCCCTCACAACAAAAAGTTTGCCCACCCCTACTCAAGAGGTATTGATTTTATTCTATATTTTACAAATTGATAATTCAAAACCAATGTTTTTTAGAATTATTCTAAATGTTATTCATCAATTAAACGACGTAATATTTAACTTTGAAATTTATTTAATTGTTGGATGACATGCTGAGAAAAAAAATTATTTTTACAAATTAGAAAGCTAGCACGGTTTTCTGTATAAAAAAGTTTTTAAGTTTCGTATCATTTCATATCATTAGGATCATATCAGATTGTTTCAAAACGTGTGAGTGTGTGTGTTCACGCCTTAGATTTCGACGTGTTTCATCACAGCATGCATGCTTGCATAGCATCATCAAATATCATCATAGCGTTCGTATTCAGATGCATCTGCCACCCCTCATTAGGGATATGACAATTTTTAAAGACCCTATCCCCATGTTATTTTTTGTGGAGTTTTAATGCAAAGATCAAGAAAAATCCAATGGCAAATGGCAACTTTAAAAAAATGTCACCCCCTTAATTAAATTTATATTATATATACATTGTACAAAATGGTTTTTTTAATCAGAATTTTTTAATCTATTTTTAGACATCTTGACTATAGTCCTGTCGAATTATAATTTGAGTGTAAATTTAATTATCTACAAATAAACAAATCTTATGAGTTTAGGTTATCAAAATAAGTTTATAAAATATCAAAAGTCAGGTGATGATAACAAATATAATATATAATATGAAAGATTATGTAATAAGCATGCATACATATAGCAAAATCACACCAGCAATAAACTGAAGCTGTGATACCTTAAACTGTACTGTATCTAACAATAGATTGGATGGGAGAAAACGGTTTTCAGCTTAGGGGGGGGGGGTGAACTTTTTTAAGATTCAACGCTTTCAAATGATATTTCCAGTTTTAAAATGTAATTTCTCCACTCATAGTAGCATGGGAAACCAAAAATTGCCAAAAAAAATTTTTAGTCATACTTCTACCCCTCATATATATATACAAAGAATTTATAATATAAACGTTTCACATTTGAAAAGAGAAACATCTTCAAAAATGATACAAAAAAACAACAAATTTAATAAAAAAAAAGAGAAAGGGAGATCTGGCATCACACAATGTTCTCCAAACTCTTGGAGACAAGCGAACACTCTCTGATACTTTTTGAATGAAGAATTCTTTGTTCTAAAATGTTTTTCCACGTGCACTTTAGCTCGTCAGATGGAGCAATGAAGCGGAAACTTCGTGGAGTCCAGGGCTTTTGAAGGGTGGTCAGTCGGGTCTCCACCGATATTATCAACTCAAACGCTGTTTAGGGAAGAAAGGTTTCATTTTTATATTTGTATGTGGTTGGCTCAATTATAAAAATTTATCTATTTTGAACAGATTTGGTCTTCAAAACGTTTATTACAAATTATTAGTTAATTGTTTTCTACCATTTGATTTCAAGCTTTAGACTGACTGTTTAAATAATAATGAACGAAATTGGAAAACTAACGCGAGTAGGAATCGAACTGGCAGCCGACGATATCATGCAGTACAATGGGGTCATCGAAGACAACGAGGTCATCAGTAACTGGGTCAGGTTGTGTCAACAAAAGTTGGTCACTCATTAACACGACAAATAATGTCGTGTAAGTTGGCAACGTTCTGCTGTTCAAGTAGTTGTTGGTGGTTATGAGGTCAAGAAAGCCTGAGTAGACCAAGTAGTGGGTCGGCGTCGCTAATGGAAATGTCTGAAAATGTTGAACGGTAACAGTAGCAAAATAACCTCACCAATTTTGCGTTTAAAATAACGTCTCGGAAATGTTTCAACTAAAAAAATTATTTTATTTTATACGTTTAGTCAATTTAAATCCGTTAAAAATAAGAATTCTCGAATGAATTCTCAAAATATAGACTTCAAATTTTTAACTCTACTATCGCTTTTACATCTTTCCCAAGCAGTAACCTATTAATGCTTAATTAAATAAAGCAACACCAACGTAACTAAATAATATCAATATAAAATAAAAATTATAGATTAAGTAACATTTAAATAGATTGACATTCGAATAAATGAAATAAATTAATTAACACTATAAAAGTAACTGACCCTGATGTGTTGGGGGAATATAAGCCTGGCCTGAATGTCCAACAGCTGTCGATCGATGCTACCGATGACCACTTGTTGATCACGTGCTTGATGACGTCGTTGTTGAAAATGTTGTAGAGGAGGAGAAAGATGACGTTGTTGTTGTTGTTGTTGTTGTTGTTGTTGTTGTTGTTGCGTAGGTGATGGCGACGACGAAGATGATGATTTGCAAGATGATGATAATGACGTGGATCTTTTACTAATGACGTCATTAATGTTGCCATTTTTATGCATTGCCCCTGTTTGGACATCTAAAGCAGTACGATTACTATGATTGCTAGCAGCAGCAGCAGCAGTTGTAGTAAAATTAGTAGTAGCGGTAGTAGCGATGCCAGCGACAAGAGTATTGTTACTAAATGAGGTAATTGTGGTTGTGATGCAGTCAAAGGACAGAGTGCTGTGGTACTTGTGGTTGTCGTTGATGCGACTGCAACACTGCCGAAGTGCTATGAATGGGTGATTTCGAATTATGAATATTTTTAAAAATATTAATTTAATATTATTATTATTATATATATATATATATATATATATATATAATAATTTTGGCGTGGTAGATCAAACGGTAAAAGTGTTGTGTCGCGAGTTTTTGTTTAGGGCGTTCTGACCTAGTTCGAATCTCCACGAAATTCAAAAAAAGTCACAATTCGCGCGCTTGTTTTGTGCCTATTAGAGACACATCAAATGTTCAGTCTAGTCCAGTGGACCAGAGTATTTGGACAAAATTTGACATTTGGCTTTGGCAATTTTTGAGAGGCAGAATAGTGCACTTTCCGTTTAAGCCGTGCACACGCTCAAAAAGTTTATACGTACAGAACACCGTATACAAAGTGTACGAAATAATTGTTATATTGTAATAATAATAACATCAATAATAATAATAATTTAATGTAAAAATATATAATAAATAATAATAACAATAAAATTAACATAATTAATTAATTATTCATAACGAATCGGCATACCCTGTATAATTTCCTTCATGTCGTGGGATACGTAGTTAAGTCTGATGCTGTTGACGGCAATCATCTGCAGGGCTATTATCAACTCTTTGATATGCTAATTTGCGGTGTGATAATAAGTTAATTAGTTAATTAATTAATTAATAATTATTGGTTTATATTTAATAATAACATTAATAAAAGTAGCAAAAATTACTTTGACGGGAAGCTGAATGAAGGTAGAATAATTGACACGAAAGTCAGAATCACTATTATTGTTATTATTATTATTATTATTATTACTACTACTACTACTACTACTACTACTACTACTACTACTACTACTACTACTACTACTACTACTACTATTAGTAGTATTATTTTCGTTATCAGTAATGATAGTTGTTGCAGCAACATTAGTAGGGTTACTATCTACAATTATGTCATTATTATTATTATTACTACTACTACTACCACTACTACTACTACTACTTCTACCACTACTACTATTACTACCGCTACTACTATTACTACTACTAGCTATTTTACTGACATCCTTGATAATGTTACGATCATGAACATCGATGATTACATTAGTGTTAATGTTATCCGTGGAAGAGAGATTTTCATAAATATTATCATGAATATAATTAATAATGTCATCAGTCTTTTTGTTAGTGTCATCAGCATTTTTGTTATTGTTGTTGATGTTGTTGTTGTTATAGGTGTTGCTGTTATTGCTGTTGATGTTGTCGTTGTCGCTTGCGATAATATTGTTGCTGTCGTCGGCTATATCGCTGCTGCAGTAGCCATCCTTAGTGTCATTGTTTTTCTTTATGTTATTGTTGATGTTGACGTTGTTGTTGATGATGTTGTTGTTGTTGTTGATGTTGCTGTTGATGTTGTTGTTGCTGCTGTTGTTGATAATGTTATTGTTGTTGTTATTTAGTCGCGCGATGATTGGTCCAAATTTTTCATCCTTTTTCAATAGGACCAATGTCATGAGAGCCCTTCTTAGACCAACGCAGTACGTTTCGTAATTAGTGCAGAAATCTGACATCTGTCGATTGGGGAAAAATTGAAATTTTTATGCCAAATAAGAATGGGATTAATGTGATAATAGTAATAATAATGATGATAATAATAATGATAATAAGAAAAAGAAGAATGACAATGACGACGATGACGAGGATAATGATGATGATGATGATGATGATGATGATGATGATGATGATGATGATGATGATGATGATGATGACGATGATGATGACGATGATGATGATGATGATGATGATGATGATGATGATGATGATGATGATGATGATGATGATGATGATGATGATAATGATGATGACGATGATGAAAAGAAATATGTTGGACTTACTTTGCATTTTAAGAAAAAAACTAAAGAGTCGATAAAGTAGAGATGATGATGAGTAGGATGTTGTTGAATAAGATTGTGACTGTTGCTGATTTTGTTGTTGTTGTTGTTGATGTTTTTATTGTTGTTGTTGATGTTGTTTTTGTTGTTAATGATGTTTTTATTGTTGTTGATGATGTTGTTGTTGATGATGTTGTTGTTTTTGTTGACGTTGGCTGTTCCTACTGTCACCTCCAAAAGCTCTGATGACAATTTCTGCAGCTAATGAGAATTATGATGATGGTCACAAAGACCACCAATATTATTATAATTATTATTATTATATTTATTAATTATTAATAATTATTATTATAACGATAATGATAATAGAATGATTATGATAATGCAGTGATATTTTAATGAAAAAAAAAACAAACAAAGACCACAAATCTTATGATGATGATGACGATGATGATTAGGATAATATAACAATATTTATATTTATGATATTTAATGATTGTAATTCTGATAATAGGAAAAATAGTAATTAAGATAATTACTATATCAAAAGAATGATATCAAACAATGATATCTTTCATCATACGGACCTGGTGAACATTTTGAAACATTTCAGTGTAACTTTCTTTTGGGATGCCATAGTAACGAAGCGGTGCCAACAAATTTTTATCGGCCCATGTACATTTTCCAACGAATATTTCCAAGCATTGTTTTAACTCTTCAATTGCTTTGTCTAGTTGGGATTCAAGTTCTTCCGAAGTTTGTTGATGTTGTTGTTGGTGATGGTTGTTTTGATAGAGTTGTTGTTGTTGCTGATGTTGTTGCTGATTTAGTTGTTGATGTTGTTGCTGATGTAGATTTAGATGTTGCTGATTTAGACATTTGTCGTTGTTGTTGCTGCTGCTGCTAAAATGGTCGTCTTTTGTGGCGTTAATGTTGTTGATGTTATTGTTTTTGATGTTGTTGCTAATGTTGATGTGATTGCTATCGTTGTCGGTTAAATTGTTGTTTGTTTTGTTGCTTGTTGTCTTCGATTTTATTCCCATTCTAGGTAGGCAACCGACTTGTTTCGTTAAGGTATCGTTGTTAGTGCCAAGACAGTTTAAAATATTGTTGTTGCTGTTGTTGTTGTTATTAGTAATTTTACTGTTGTTGTCAATGTTGTTGTTGTTAATGTTATTTGAGTAGTTGTTGATGTTATTTGGATTATTGTTGATGTAATTGTTGCAGCTGGATATTAAACGTTCTTGTTGCTGATTAGTTACTGTCATCAAGGGTTTGCGATTGTTGCTGACGTTTTTGTTGGAAAATAATTTTAGTTGTTGTTGCTGCTGCTGTTGTTGTGGTAATAGTGGCGGTAGCGGTAGTGGTTGGTGGAAACCGTCAAACATCGATACCGATTCAAATATGGACGATATTGTAGTGGACGTGTCGTCGTCTTTGTCGACGTCATCTATGACGTCATGGTCGTTGTACGTTGACGGGGTTGAGAGAGACGACGGAGACGACGATGTCGTTGGTGTGGTAGTCAAGAAAGATGAAGCGTAGTCAAAAACGACAGCGGAGTCTGAATTGAAAGATTGTTGACGATGTTGTTGTTGTTGTTGGCTGCTGAAACAGGCTGGCCATAGTTTAATGTTGTTTTGTTGTTGTTGTTGTTGTTGAATTCGTTGCTGGCGTTGTTGTTGTTGAATTTGTTGTTGCGATGGTCTGTATAGGTCCAGCGTTATTTTTTCCGTTGAGTTTCTGGGGAAGAAAATTGAAAAATACATAAGTATGCTTTATTATGCAGTATTCCTACGCTACTTGCAATGAAAAATAATCTTAAAAAATTTAACGTTACACGCACACACGCACGCACACACGCACAGACTATCGCCACCTGACAATTTTGGCGACACTTTCAGCTGTTGACCTGATGACATTGACCCCGTTGACCTTGATGATGCAATCGTTGACCTTCACGTTATTCATACTGGCTGGTGACACTAAATTGCAAAAAAGTATTTCAATTAATTTAATAGGAAAAATTATTTTAATTAGAAGCAATTGAGTATAAGGTGAATAATAAAAAGTATTATTGGCAGTCTTTCATTATTTCAGTAATATGTTTGTTTGTACCTGACTTGCAATGATTGATTGATTGATTGATTGGTTGGTTGATTGATTGATTGATTGATTGATTGGTTGATTGATTGATTGGTTGATTGATTGATTGGTTGATTGATTAATTGATTGATTGGTTGATTGATTGATTAGTTGATTGATTGATTGATTGATTGATTGATTGATTGATTGATTGATTGATTGATTGATTGATTGATTGATTGATTGATTGATTGATTGATTGATTGATTGATTGATTGATTGATTGATTGATTGATTGATTGATTGATTGATTGATAACTGTTTGTTGTGTTTGACTCGCCGCAATTGTTTCAAATAACCCGCTTAAAAGTTTTCTCTGTGTGTGTGTGTGCGTGTGTGAATGTGTTTGTGTGTGAAGGTACCTATGTGTGTGTGTGTGTGTGTGTATGTGTGTATGCATGTATGTTTATGTGTGTGTGTACTGTACATTCTATATGTATGTAGG